TAAACAACCTTCCAACAGGATACCTCCCGAAAATTGAAAAGAAAGACCATACAAATGCATTCTTGTGAGGTTTCTTCCGTAGTATATAGGTAGTTCAAAATCGTTACTTAGATTGTTTATTGGCACTATTCTGCTTAAAACGGCTGATAGGATGTCCAACAACAAATAGAACACAACTAACTACGTAAAACCTTACAGTATGCTACTGCAGTTTAAACAAAATTCTAGATTCCGGTTTGTCTAATGCTCCATAATGATTCATTGTTGTTACGACTAGAAGTCTTCCTTTGCACGTATACTTGCAACGTTCATGCTATATCGCTCAGTTATTCCAATGTTCAGTTTCCAACAACTGAGCTCTTCCAGAGCAATATACAAAATTAGTGAAAACGATAACGAAAGGTACCCTAAGTTAGCAATCTGAGAACTCACACAGCAAATTTACGACGTCGAGTTGGTTGTGTCGTGGTGATCACGGCCAATAGCACCTATCTCACAGAACACCTGGCCCGATCAACTTAGAATATGATTCTCTGTTAGGTGAAGTTGTGAATGATGTTCAGTCGTATTTTCAATATTTCATGGGAGATGGTCAACATACTACTTCAGGCCGCCCAAGTGGAGATAACGTGTAGCTCTGTAAATCCGAGCTGCGGCGAAGGGCGTAACAGTTGCCGCGTGCGCGACGTTCGCACCAGGCTTCTATTGATCCATTCGATTCAACACGGCGATGCTGCAGTGTGCCAAGCCAACCAGCTGGGAAACAAGCTGCTTGTTTGCGCGTGATTTAGCGATTCGGGTGTCCTAAACTGTACAGGAGTATTTGCCATTGCCTTTGAAACCATCGACTTCAGTACCCTACCTCCATCCCCTCCCCCACTATGAAAACGGTTCGGTTTACCATTAGCTCATATGCAATCACTCATATGCATTGGCTCAGATCCATCCAATTTGCATTGGCTCAGATCCTTCCATTCCAAGTTTCACCAAGCCTCGGTGTCGGTTTGGAGTGAGGGGGGTAGGGAATCTGTGTAGTTCGCTAGTTTCCCCATACTAGTTGTTGTTAACTTACACCTCTCACTTTGGTGCAGCCTGCATACTCTTGTCAGATGTAAACGAGTTCGCTGCGGACGGTTGGGCGTGTCAGGCAGTATGAGTGTGTCACCCCGTCAAAGCCGTTCTCTGCCTTCTTGTTGAAGCGCGCATGCGACAAAAAGTGGTAGAAAACGAGTAATACGAACGATACAGTCATATCATTTGCTCGCTTTAACAACTGGTGGAGAACGGGTTTGGCACCGCGCCAAACTCATCCCGCCTGACACGCCCAACCGTCCGCAGCGAACTACACTACCCTGGGCAGGCGCTGCATAGCGGTTTTTCCGAGGAGGGTGCCCTTATAAGGGCCCTATCAACCGTTCGGCAGGGGGGGGCATCTTGCTAGTTTCTTTTGTTAGCTCACACTCACTAACCTTTCTGGTATGACCTGAAAACATCCTCGAAGCTGTGGAATCTAGCAAGTGAGCCACTTTTGTCAAATGAATTTACAGGTCCCTACAAGATGCACATGTACATGCTTCGCCGAGTACCATTTGGTACCCCGCCAAGCTGAACTGCACCCATACCCGTTCTCCCAGATGGTGTAATATTGAAACAAATATGCTAATAAGCATGGGAAGATATCAGCATCTCGAAGAAACTATACTAAAATGATCAATAGTGAGCAGTTTGTTGTTGAGACGGGTGGAAACAAACACTGGCAGCGACGATGTTATCTGACGCATAGCTGATTCATCTCCAGCTGTGTTGTGAGAAAGATTTCTCATATTTCTTTTACGATGGCGTCCGACTCGAGATACATATGGCAAAGTGGAGAGGGTGCAGGCAAAGATGTCTTAGTTTGGCAGTTTTCGATGGTACTATACCAAAACGGCACAGTCACGTAACTAGACAGTTTCAGGACTTACTCCGATAGCAAAACGAAAGCATAACACGCTGATTAATTCTTTCCTGGAATGCGCCACGCACTCTGCGTCCAACCAGAACCACGGAGACCCTTTGAACGCAATTTGGCAAACTTTCAGAGCACCAACATCATTGAAT